GGATTTTCCAAAGATTTAAAAAGTAAAGCAAGAGTAAGTACATATCGTACTCAACAAATATAACATGGGGTTCATGAGGCTCAAAAGGCTGACACTGGTTTAACTGCAATTAGCTTTTAATGAGTCACAATTTTAAGTAATTGAGTAGCAACAAGTTTATCACAACCCATGTAAATACATGATCAGGTAAACATGAATAATAAATAGCATAAACATTAATCTTTAGTGAGCATCTTCATCATCCATATCATCAGTGTTCATCATCTATTCCGTAAGGGTCCAATGCCGCTCGTGACCGTAAGCACGGCTGATATACCAGTTTTACACTCTGTATAGGTTGTACACTTTCATTGTGAGTCATGATTTACCTTTTCGCCCGAGACGGCCAACCTCTTGGCCCACTACCAAGGAAGGTCGGCAAGGTTTACTATGAAGCCTTTTAAAGGTTCATCTAACAAGTTAGGGCCGCTAAGGTTTCCCCATCAATAAGCATGAACCCCCCTCCAAGGATTGACTAACAAAATACAAAAAAACCAAAGTGCACCCTCTTGGCAGGCCAAGATCATACCTATTAGAGCCTCTCTTGCGCCATAAAGGTAACCCCTAACAAGCTAAAAAATGTTCTCATACTAAGCTAAAGCCAGAGCCATATAACTCTCATAGCTGTACTGTAAGTTCTAGATGTTCGCTTACAGATAAATCATTGGGGAGAGGAATCTAGAGCACCATAAAATAGCCCAATGTTCTAGCCCCCTTGTTCTATGTTGCTAAAAGCATCTTTTAATGTTTATTGCATATACCATTAGTCAAGTTACAAGATCATGGCTTTAGTTGAGCACTAGCATCATACTACCCAATGCAATAACCTATAGGAAGCAAGAAATCCAGGATATCAAACAGCTAGGAAAATTACTACGGTTGTCAAGATAGACACATGCATATGATTAAAATGATATTAAGTTGAATAGGACAATAAGGAAGATCCCATGCTATACTTGCCTTAAACTCAGATCCTTCTTCTATGGAATTGTAACCTCCAAAGGACTTCTTCTGGATCACCAACTTCTTTTATATTACCAACGCAAAGCTCATCGACTGGACATGATCATAAAGCACCACACAAGCATCCATGCAATCATACACAAAGCAAACAATAGATCTAAATTAGAACAGTACACCAAACATAAAATCAAGATGAAAAGTTTGTAAAATAAATCTACGTCTCGCTATGAACACACAGACGCGAAAAACAATCTAATTGGAGCTATAACGAAAAAGTTACGAATTAAACAAGATTTTCTTTAATAAAATAATAGATTAAATCTAACCTTGAATTTCAAAATTTGAAAATATATTTAACAGTAGGATGAACATGTAGATTACTCAATTACGAATCTAACGCAACTTGAATGGATCAAAATGGAGTTAAAACGAAGATTTTATGACCTAAATAAGACTAGTGGCAAAACTGTAAATAGATGAAAGCGTATTTTGGATCTATCCGAAGAAACTATGTTTTCAAAAGAAAAAAACGTATTTTGAATCTAATGAGGGATTTTGCGCTTTTCGAAAGAGAAAACGTATTTTGAATCTATTAGAAAGAAATTACGCTTTTGGAATAGGAGAACATATTTTGAAAGTGCGACATGAACTTCGGGTTATATTACGTGAACTGTAGGGGCTCTTTTGCAAATAAATCCGACAAAGGGGTACGGGCGATCTTGGACCGTTGGATTGAATCTAGACGGCCTAGATTAGAAAGGAGGGGGAGAGAGAGTCACCAGCCGAAGAAGAAAACCGACACGGCGGAGCTCCATTACCGGCGGCGGTAAGCTCCCTAGAGCGCTTGATTTGGGTTCTAGAGGCCATGGTTTGACGAGCTAAGAGCACAGGGAACAAGAGGAGAAGATGGCAAACTGACCTAGGGCCTTCTTGTGGTCGATGGCGGGTCTACAACGTCGGGCAGGGTGGCGGCGGCGACGATGGCCACGGCGAGAGAAGGAGGAAAAATCTAATTTACTACATGAAAGATTTCCCAAACTAGGGGCTCCCCTTACGTTAGTTTTGGTGTACTTTGCCCAAAGAGTTGGTACATATTTATGGGAAGAAAAACTCCCCACATCGATATCAACTAGCAATATACTACTAATTGATGTTGCACCCTCCACATTTACTAATGGACATATATAATCATTAAAGCCTATTAGTAAATAAATGCATGTGCCTTTGAGATTTATTAGGATTATTGCACATGGGCTTTGAGAGTTGGTTGAAAAATGAGATATATTATTTATTTTCGGAATTAATTAATTTCACGAATAAAATAATTCTAGAAAAGTCCAGAATTGATATTTAAGCCACGAAAAATACTCCGAGACCTCCAAAAAATTGGGAAAATTCCTAAAGATACTTTGGAACATGATGAACCCAAATAAAGTATTTGGAGATCATGAAAAATTGTTGGGAACTTGGAACATAAAGATTAAGGTGATGGAGGTAGGAATTAAATTCTAGAAAGAAGTTGGAAAATTCCTAGAGATAGATATTCGTCTCTTAAATGTATTTTAAAAAAACAAATTTGCACATAGAAACACAAGGTACGACCATCATGAATGCAACAAACACGTTTCTACCTTAAGATAAATTTTAATCTAATGAAAATTTATTATTTCCCCATGTTTTCATGAGCTTAAAAATACAAAATTAAATCATTTTAGATCTATTTCAAGATAAACAAATTTAGGGTGTTACATATGACATAGACCATACTAATATATGTTACTCAATTTAATGGAAAATGTCCGCTAAAAATCTACATCATTTAATTTAATGAAAATGTCCACTAAAAATATATGGCATCCAAACGGGTATGCTAGCAGTTAACTGAGTGGCTACATACCAATCTTAGAGTAAGTTGGTGATGTGCAACCTTCAAAATTTGGGAGCCTCCATGAACAATTTGGTGAAAAATGCCATCTAAAATCAAGGAAGAGCCTCTCCGTCACATTCATATCAATATTGAAAACAATCTAACCAAGCAAAGAAGCTAGCAATTAAATGAGTGGCTAGATACCAACCTTAGAGTAAGTTGGTATTGTGCAACCTTTAAAATTTGGGAGCCTCCATGATCAATTGGGTGAAAAAGCCCTCTAAAAGGGATGAAAGAGCCTCTCCATCACATTCATACTAAAATAAAAAATCTAGCCAAAGAAACTAGCTAGAAATTGAATGGATTGCTAGTTACCAACATTAAAACAAGGGAGTGATGTGCATCCTTGAAAAATTAGGAGCCTCCATGAGCAAATTGGTAAAAAAATGGTCGCAACAATGGTGGGAGTCGGGAAAAAGAAGAAGAGGTGGTGAGGAAGACGAGGGGGACTGTACTCCTTTTCACCATCGGTTCGTGGATTGCACCGGTGGTGAAAATGATTATGACCGCCGGCTGGGGTTATGAACCGGCGGTGAAAACCTTCTTGATTTTCACCCCCGGTTAAAGAGACGAGCTGGGGGTGTGATAACCATTCTCACCACTGGTTCCAACAGCCACTACGTCCACTTACATACAAACCGGTGGTGAAAACTTATCGGAAGCGATTTTTTAACGAAACAGCAGTGAAAATGCTGTTGCAAAAATGTTTTCGGTAGTAGTGCGTGCCAGGTGACATGATGTACATTATTGCGGATTAACCAAAAGACAGAAGGGTGGTGCCTTCAGAATCACAACAGGTGGATCAAGTGGACCAGTCATGTGTAAATAAAAAAAATGGACCAATCATGTGACAAAAGAAATGGCATCTTCACTTCAAGAAACGCTTATATAAAAGGGACACAGCATGCTGGCCCATAATTTTTTGCTTTACAGTGATTAAATCAAGTTAACAAAGCTTGCAAGAATCATCTCTTTGCTCTTTGCTCTTGCTGCAAGGAATGCATCCGATCCAACGAATAAGATCTTCTGCTGCTATATATACAAGCGTGGAACAACGCGTGCAGCACCCCATCTGCTTTCTTAATCAAGATCGGATGCAATAGTATCCTGTATGCAACCATTTAGGAAACGATCATCAGGTAATAACAAATCCTTGTCTTATAATTCTTTTTGCCAATTATCTTTTTGAAACATTGCCATCTCTTCTATCTTGAAGCTTGCTATTATCATATATCCAGTCTTCTGGGTTGGTACCATTCCATGAATTTTCTATATCCTGGGTGACGCTTGTCCCCATTTAAGAAAAAAAATCAAATTTTAAGCATGTTGGCATGATTTGGAGCTTCCCAAAAAAAATTATGGGCATATAGTAAACATAGGGATGTACAACCCTGCAAAAGTTCAGCTTAAACTTATTCGCCAACAAATTCAGTTACTCTCTTTCCGCTAACCCAAAGATGCTGCGGATGAGTCTTCTTCCATGCATGGTTGTGGATCGCCGGTAGGTAAGGCCTGAGGCTCCATGGGCCAATTCTTTGCTATCGTTGCCTTAGCGAGGGTTTTGTTTTCGGTTAATAGTCGTCCTCAGTTCTCAGTTGGAATGAGAGCATTGCCCATGATTCGTCATCATCTTTGCTTTTTTCGCGCTGGCTTGAGAACTTATTTACACCACCTAACATTCAACATTCAATAATAGCAACTTTAAAGGAAATCATTGCTGGTTTTGGAACCCAAAATGTGATTCATAGTGATAGATTTTTCCAATCTGTAATATACATACATACATATATATATATATATAATGGCAGCATATACCTCATAAAATCCCTTCTGTCTGTATATTTTACAGATCTTATTAAGAAAGAACTTATGGTTTAGATGTATAATTTTCATATATTTGTCTTAATCCTATTATCCATAATACTATTATAGAACTTGTTGTCAGAAAAAAATGACATTAATGAATGTGGAGAAGAAATTTGTATTTTGTAATAAATAAGTCGACTGAATTATATTATCTACTGATATTTACTAGGTGTTTGAGCCATATATAGAATTCCAACTAGCAAAAATGGAGAGTTTTGGGCAACTAATTAATGAGTGGGAGATTCAGTCTCTTGTGCTCCTCAGCTTCGTCCTACAAGTGTTCCTCTTCTTTACGGGCAGCCTTCGGCGGTGTAGCCGAAATGCAGTGCTCAGAGTCACTATTTGGGTGGCATATCTGGGAGCAGATGTGGTAGCAATTTATGCCCTTGGGTCCCTCTCACGACAAAAAGATGCAAACATGGACAACAACAACAACGGATCACTGAGGAGGAACCACCCCCTAGCTTTCCTCTGGGCACCGTTCCTCCTCATCCATCTCGGTGGGCAAGACACCATCACTGCATTTTCCTTAGAGGACAACAAGCTGTGGCTGAGGCATATGTTGAACATGCTAGCTCAGGTGTCCCTAGCCCTGTACGTGTTTTGGAAGTCAGGAATCTGGCACAGCGTGTGGCTTCTCCTTGTTGCCATCTTTCTGTTCATTCCGGGGATCATCAAGTACGCAGAGAGGACGCTGGCTCTCATGTATGGAAACGTAGACAACGCTTTTGTTAGGGAACCCAGTTCCAGAAGCCGATGGTGGATTCCATCAAAGGACGCGGAGGATGATGGGTATGAGGGGTACATTTGCTTTGCGCTACGCTGGGCTCCTGGCACCAAAGACATGTTTGCAGGGCGTACCATCGGCTGGGCAGGAGAAGGGAATTACAAGAAGCTTACCCACTACAGACTCGACCCGAACCAGTTCTTTAAGCTCTTCGATGTCGAATTCTGCATCATGTACAGTGATCTGTATACCAAGACTAGGTTGCTCCGAACAACAACTGGTGTTGTACTTCGTTTCATCTCTCTGGTGTCCACCATTCTTGCCCTTGTGTTCTTCACCGTTAGCAGCAGCAGCAGCAAAGCAGGAGGATATGGTGGTACAGTAGTAGCTGACATTGTCATCACCTACACACTGCTGTACGGAGGGTTTCTTCTGGAAGTCTGTGCGGCGGTAACGACGCTCGTAGCGTCACCTTGGACATGGGCGTGGCTAGAGGCTAAACAACACCATAGTCTCGCTCGTGTGTCCAGGTCTCTTCTCTCCTGTGGTAGTTTTGGGTTGCAGGAGACAAGGCCACTGTGGTCAAACACCATGGGACAGTACACTTTCCTGAGCTACCTGGGCTGCGACGAGCCGGGCACGAGTCTATCTCTATCCCAACGCGTGATGAGCAAGATAAGGAAGATGGCGAGATGTTTGGGCGTCGGAGAGGCGAAGAAGCTGTTTTGGGTGAGCAAGCTACTGGACTCCAAGCAGGAGGCGGTGGATGACAACATCAGAGCAAGTCTGGTGCAGGAGCTTCATCGCATCAGAAGTGGTCGGCCGCGGCGGCAGTGGCGGCGTCTCGGCCTGTTCGTGACGCAGGCGGCACCCGAGTTGGCCTTGGATCTCATTTACTTTATAGGCACGTTGCATCTAATCACAGAGGTTTGCCTGAACAACAGGGCGGCAACGGCATCAGCAGCAGCATCCGGCACCGCCGGCGGGGACGACGACGACGACGCTGATGATTTGGACGACACTTGCCGGAAGCTTTCCAACTACATGTTGTACCTTGTGGTTGCACACTCTGCAAGTGCTTCCCTGCTGCAGGTCGCCACTGGCAGCCCCGAAGACGCTCTAGAGCTTCTGCGTCAGAAATTCCTGCCATCTATGTCGAGTGGCGGCAGCGGCAGCAAGGATGCCATTCTGCGTCAAGTCAGCGATAAACTCCGAGAACGAAGAATCTTCATGGGCCTTTCGGCCGAGCGGCGCAAGGAGACGCTGGAGGAGCTGAGAGATATGTGGGTGCGGCTCCTCCTGTACACCGCCGGCAAGTCCCGGCCGGCGGAGCACGCCGCCCAGCTGGCCAGAGGAGGGGAGCTCCTCACCTTCGTCTGGCTCCTTATGCTCCGCCACGAGATCGGGGATTGCGCCCTGCACCGGATGGAGCTTGCACCACGCCAAGCTGATGGCCGCGGCGGATATTTCAAGGTGATCTACGTCGCCGATCCCCATGAGGTCAGCCCAGAGCACGAGATCGACGACAGAAATACGGTAATATAATTATTATTAAGTCCGTCATATATACCGTACCTTTCTTCTCTGTATAAATGTTGTGACACATCTGAATTTGTATATATGTTTATTTTTTTAAAACAATGCAGGAGATAAGCTAGCTCTAAGAACGGCGTACGGCAGTTAATTGTCAGTGGTAGTATATGCCCTATTTGTTTCTTGCCTGCAGCTGTGCGTGTGAGCTTTGTCTGGTTTGTATCTGTTTTCTTTCTTCTTCTTCTTCTCCTTTTTTTTTCATGCTATGTGAGCTTTGGTTTGGAACGGCCTCCATGAATCCGGATGAATCGCAGAATGCTGTCCGCGAGGTGTATCACCTGCCAGATAGAAATTAAAGTGTCAATCACTTTTTTTCCTCCACTCTGCTGCTGTATGTCACGATGCCATTCTGCTGGCAGACATGGAATATTTGCTCTCATAATATCGACCTTAAAATGTTGAAACTTTGTCTTCCCCATATTTTGCGCCCAGCTGGCACCACATCTGACATGGATCGGGCAACAAAATGTCCTTCTTGCCCTTTTTGTGCTCCGTCACGCTCACATCAATGCAAACATCATGTTCATCAGCAGAAAAATGGGTCATCGTCTTCCCTTCTTGCCCTTTTTGTGCTCCGTCACGCTCACATCAATGCAAACATCATGTTCATCAGCAGAAAAATGGGTCATCGTCTTCATCAGCATCATCATAAAGACCCTCGCAAAATTGATCACCACCAGATCGAATTGTCATCCGAAGTGAAATGAAGTTCTCAAACCATCTAAAGGCATAGGTATTTAGAAAAAAAGGGCATGAAACAGAAACAATATATTGGCAAAACTCATGAGATCTCATTTATATCTTCTATATTACAATCACTTCAACACACCACCCATATTCGAATTACATAACATCAAATTAGTATTGCCTTAAACTAAGTCCAAATTCCATAAGAACCTAATCAAGCCTTCGTACTAAGTTCATAGGATCTTCAACAGCAACAATAATTGAACAGCAGAATCAATACAACAAGTGGGACAAGGGGCAAGGTAGTCATTAACTCTTGAGAAATTTAGACATGGACTTGCTCCATTGGAAAACATATATCCTTAGCTTTCTGTGCAGATATAGAACAATGAAATTAGACTCGATATGTGATTTCACGGTGATTGGAGTGCAAGCTTCTCTTGGAGTTTGAGGTGGACTTGAAACTAATAATATGGTTTAGGCCTCCAATTTTGCTTGGATGCCTAATCTAGTATTATCCGCCTGCATGCCTCTCTCTAAGTACCTATTTTTATCCATGTAGTGTTCCATCTTGCCCACTTAACTGAACCGACCTTGATCCTATGGTGATTTACATTGTGTTTCCTTGCACGTGACCAAGTTTAAGGTGCATTGGGCCTGAGGTCATCTGACCTAGATGAGAGCTTGGTTCCATTGGTTTTTCTTGTGACACATGTTTTATTCTTGGGATGCACTTCGACATGGTGGGGTGTTGCAATGTTGGTTGTTGTCTTCAGTTGGTGTTCCATTGGGTCCATGGGACATTCATCGTGTCTATTAGATCACACTATCATTGATCCAACTGCTCCATGGGACTTAGATTATGTTTCTTTGCATGTTGGGGAGTGGTACTTGGTTTGGGCTAGATAGTAAGCTGGGCGAGCTATGGGTAGGTCAACAACCCACTTTTTGGCCTTAAGTGCTTCATCTTTGCATAATGTCTTTCATGTAACCTAATATTCATGAAAACCTGTGGAACTCATTAGAATAAGCCCCTACAACTATGGTGGTATCATGGAATGTGTCATTTTCATATTATGTTGGTAGTGATATATTTGCAATAAGAACCACCACCAATTCCCAAATAGCTTAATACTTCAATAGTTCCATGTACTATCAAGTATGACAACTTGGTTCGCATGCAGAGGTGCTAGATGAATAGGTGAATACCTCAAAAGTTCCATGTATAACACATGTCACTATCAAGTTATCCCTTTAGTTTGATGGCACATTGTGTATTCCATGTAGAGATGCTTGAATAGCTAGCACCTAGACTCCATATAACCTCTGCCGGTTACCACTTATCCCATTTTGGTGAAAAAAATGTAGAATCAGAAAAGGGAGAGGGGCTTTCCTACATGTTTCTTTCTGTTTTCATCATTAGGCATACTCAAAATTTGACTATGTTTAGCCTTTTTCAAGGCTTCTAATGGGCTTCTACTGGACTTATCAAAGGACACTCTTAGTTTGATCTTGTTTAATTCTAGGGCTTAACCATGAAAGGTGTGAAGCAGAAATTTGAATAAGTTAGGGTTGTTGCTTTGATGTTTTAAAGTCCCAATCCATCTCATCTGGGACCATTTAATCCTTTCAAAAGGTCAAAGACTACCATAGTGTACCACAAGAGAGGTGAGTTACTCCTTACTCAAAGAAATGGAGATAGATTGCTCACTCAATCTATCTCCACTCCACATGCGAGTTACTCCTCACTCAATCCTTTCATCTCGCCATCTCAAGAGTTAATAGGAATCTTTAAAATCCTACACATAGACACGATGGTGATATATGTATACGTGACATGATGGATCTAAAATTTCATACGTGAAATCATCCTGGGATGTGCAACAAACACTGTTTGTTCATAAAAATGGGGTACAGTAAAAGGATGAACATAGATCTAGAAATTCAATAAAAGATTAAGCTGGCAACTATAACTGATGACAGTTAATATTAATTAATGAGAAAAACAGGGAAAACCCGGCTGGGTGTTCGCTCGCGTGAACAGAGCGTGACCACGTGAGGCACGCCCATGATGCTCGAGATTTTTCTTTTTTGACCGGGAATCTCTTTTTCCTTGATTATTTTAATTATTTCTTTTTAAAATCAAGGATTGTGAAATTTTTAAAAACAAATCTTACCTTAGAAGGCCGCTGGCTGGCGTGGTTTAAGGCTATAGTGTCCAAACTGACAAACCTGCCGCCAGCGTGGTTTAAGACCGAAACTGCTAAAACCCTCTGCAACTATATGTAGTCTCTATTCAACCTCCAGTGTCACAACACGAGTACTCCAAGTCCTAGGCGTGGCCAACCCACCAAGTATTTTTGCGCTCCAGCTTGACTTGTTTAGGTTCCCGCCTTGTCTTTGATCGGTACCATCTTTGACCTCATCTCGCATATATATTACTCCTGCTTGTCGCCAACATGCCCAAGTGCTAGGTGTGCATGGTCCGCCCCTCGTCATTTTGTCCCTTGTTCCAAGTCTCCGTGTTCATTCTTGACCGCCTATATGTGTCCACCGGTCCAAACCTCTCGCTTCACCATTGCTCTTAACTATTGCCAATGATCATTTTGATGCACTCAAACCCTACACATTACAGGCCAAAAGACATGTTGCACCACACACACGCCAACTCCATATTGGTTAGCTCAAGTCACCCTAGAGCCAACTCAACCCAAAACTCGATTATCTAATCTTGACAATCAGTCAATCACCTATCATTCTTGATATGAATATAAATCCACCATATCATCTCACCATCAATGAAATATCAGGTAAAGGACTCTTCGACTATATCAAAAAATTATGGAGCTCGACAACTCGGCTGAACAAACCTCAAGCTAGTTTCGAATGGCACCAGATTGATGCTACAGAAACTTGTTCAGCTTCTCTCTCAAATCGCCAGCTGCACCTGTTAGTTAGACACGCTCCATGCTGCTGTACCGTGTTCCCTCAAATGCAACTCTTGAAATGTTACTGGAGCTTATGAAAACGGATAACACAATTCACAAAAAAAAAATCGCAATATTACAGGTTCCAAATGGGCTCCAGGCCTCCAAGCACGAAAGGAACAGTAAACGAGTCTCAAATAATCAAAGTATAAACCTTAGCTTAAAGGGTGAAGAAGATAAAACTCAATCCAGACTGAAGGAGCACTGCTCTTTCATTTTTAAGGAGAAAGAAGAAGATAAAACTCAATCCAGATGTCTTGAAACATATAAGCTCAAAGCTACATTAAGAAATATAGGCCATATGCTAAGTTTCCTGAGGTATATTTCTTCCTTGACGATGAGCATCTGTAGGGGACCTAAGGTCGGAATTCGTCCGAGCCCTCAGTGTGATCAAGACTTTTAAGTGCAGTGCGCAGAGGTGGATCATCAGTCGTTCAGTGCTTGGGAATTGAATGCTGTCCCTCCCCCTTTAATCGACCCACAGCAGCATGCTCACAAGTCAAGTGTACATCACTGCATCCTCACCGGTGGCTGCAATCTCTCCCTAGCATAATCTGAAAACATACAGCGCGGAAAACATAAAAGCATGATATTACAACACTGAGACTGAGATATATGCTTCAGAGTTCAGATTGGCTACAACGCGGAGAAGAAAACAATATAATAAAAAGTTCCTGTGTATAGACAATTTCAAAAAAATATTGGGGGCTATTTGAATGGAGTTCCTCCCAGACAAATGCATCCTCGTGCAGGCAAATATTTGAAGCCTTCATCCAAACAGCCCCTAGTCCTTAGCAAGTTGAACCAACCAAAGATAAAGTTGGGGCAAGTAGTACGTGTGAGATTGCAGTATTTTAGATATGGACATCCATTTTTTTCTTGATCCCGGCAGGTATCATCAACCATACTTTTGTGTCACTAAACTGAGACTGAGATAAACACTTATAAGACTGGAACACTATGAACGTTCTAACAAGATACGTCAATTATTCACAAATCACAGCTGAGGAAACTTATAGATGAGTATGTATACCAGGAGTGTAGAAGCTTGCGTAGGGAACGATGGCCTGGAAGTTCTGGCTCTCGCATATCTGCTTGATCCGGTCAGATTTCAACTCGACGGCGAAGATCCCGTCATTTGAATGTATGAAAATGGTATTAGCACCCTCTGAGAAGCCGACCGCAAGGAGTCTGGTGGAGGGGTCACCAATGGTCATGGGGAGCATCGTATCCAGCTCGATCACCCTGCCGTGCACCCATCCCGCGGCAGCGCCCCTCCAGGACCACAGGTGGAGGCTGTAGCCCTCCACGCCGGCGACTCCCAGCCCGCCGTCTTCCGCCTTCACGAGGGCCATGTTTCCCACGCGCAAGGGTGGCAGGTTATTCATCACTGACAGCTCATGCCTGCCCAATTCGTACCTGAGGACTCAGCGACCGTCCTCTAGGAGGAAGTAGAGCGCGCCTCCGGCGA